GCTTTTTTCTCATACTGAGATGGAACTCCCTGTGTTCCAGATCACCCCACTGCCCCTTGCCCCTCGCTAGGCACCACCTAAAAGTGCCCAGCCTCATGCTCTGGACAATTGCCCTTCAGATACTTCTAACCGCTGGTAAGATCTCCTCTTAGAAAATGAGCTCACTGCTTTGGGGATGAGAGACATTTCTGAATACACCTTTCCCTTCTAAAATGCATTTTTATTCAGCCATTACAGAAAGTTAGTGAGATCATCTTCATGTTAAACAGAACAGTTCCTCCGGAAAGAATTAGCTAGTTTTCTTCTTGGTCAAGACTTTTGAGAGCCACTACTTAAAATGGGTTGGTTTATATTCAAAGTGAAAAATGCGATTGGACACACACATTCTCTCAAGAAAATCCTCTTTAAACAGAAAAACATTTCAGAGATCCCTTTAAGACTTCTAAATTCAGTTACTCCCTCAGTATGGAAATACACGATATCCTGACCATAACAAACTTCAGCATAACTTTTCAAAAAAGCACACAGAAGAGCACCGGTATTTTGTTTTGTTTCCTTTTAATATCAAGGACAGATTGTGCTATTATTATTTTTTTAAACAAGTCACCTCTTCAGATCCTCTGGCTTTCCCCATCCTCTGATGAAGAGTTTAGTGAGGAGAAGCTTTCTGTACAAGACATCTAATTTACTTACACCCATTAGCAGCAAACTGACATCTAGAAAAAAGAACAGGTAAAAACAAGGCAGTTAAAGGGGTTAACTTGAGGGGCAAGTTCATTGCTTATTAGTCTAAGTTGGTTCTTATTCTGGTACCTGTTTCAATGAAAAGCCATACCACTTTATTACAAGGAAGTTAACCTTGATACTCAGGTCAATTCTTTGCCTTTTAAACAAAGCATAAAGGCAGTTAACACAAATTCTGCCTTTGCTTTTAAAAAAAAAAAAAAAAAAGAAGTGGAATGTAGCAGTAGGAATTTGACACACCTAAGAAACCAGAAAGTTATCACATTATTGATGAAAAGATTACAGAAGAAGCACATGAGGTCACAGTATTACATCTCCAGCCTGTTCTAAGCGTATTTTACTTAGACCAATAAGAAGAAAAGCATTGATCTCTACCCCCTGTCAATATAGCGATAATGGTAAATATTTTTCAATCCAAATGAATTTCCATCAGTGCGTCTCAGAATGGAAACCTCTTCTTTTAACCCTTCCTTTCCAATTTTCCCCAACTCATTTCTTATGATTTTGAAAACAAAGCTCTCACTACCTTCAGAGAACAAAAGAATTGAAAAAAAAACAACAAAACACACCATCAGAATCCTTTCACCAGCATCATTTTTTTTACGCAGAGAATGGATTAGCTCAAATACAACTAAAGCCAACAAGGCTTTAGGCCAACTCTGTCTTACTTTCAAAGCAATACTTACTGAAGAGAGCTTGAAGTCACTACTGTGCTCTTCCAATAAGGAAGGAAAACAAACAAACAAGAACAATCTGGTTTCTTGCTCAGCAGGATACGGGTTATTCAATGAAAATGAGGTCCAGAGTCTGCCCTACACCTAAGACAACAAAAAAATACAATAATCAAAGACTTGGTTAATAAGTTGCCTTCACCTACCCTACCCTGTAATTTTTCCAGATGCGTCTATAGTAAAAGGCCTGAATAACTTCACAACACCCCCAAAAAATGTGATTTCGTTCATGCTTCTCATGCTGATTCCAATTAAATTTATTCGACTGTATTTTAATATGGTCATTCCGAACTTGTCTGAATGTAATGAGTTCAAAGTGTTGTTAGATTAATACATTCCTTTGCTCTCCTAAAAACAAATAATCAATACTTAATACATCATTAAGACTCAAGATACCAAAAAAATAAGCAAAAAAAACCCTTTAATGCTTATCAAAAGTTAATAACAAAATTGAATAGGCTAGTGCTAAAACAAGCAACCCATAAAGTAATATTCTGTCATTATATGACAGAAATAAAAACATACTATCACCAGAAACTTTTATTTTAACACTGCAGAAAGCATTAGGTGTTACTCTACCAGCCTATCTCAAATAGCTGATTCATATCTGCCTGCTCTAGAAGAATAAATTACTTTGGTACTGAAATACACACATGAGAAACTCCCGAACAAGGGAATATTAAGTTACGCAATATAAGCTATAAACCAACATAAATAACATAAATACAACAACACAAGCACTGGTAGCTGGTATCAACCTCAAGTCATGTATTTTGGTGTCAAAACAGATAGGTGGGGAAAGACAGAGAGGAATCTTCCACCACAGACACGCTACCAAAACCAAGCTTTTTACAAAGAGATCTGTGTACAGCTATCTTCTTCTCAACTGAAAGAAACCACTGAAAATTGGTTCTTAAAATTCTAGTCACCTTTTGATTGTAATGAAGTAATGAAGACCTTGCCCAGTCTTCCTGCTCTTTTTCACACAGTAAGTATTTCCTGGTACCAGAAAACCAAAGGAAAACTAGCACCCCACAACCTTGTGTACTCTTCTCTGAAAAAAAAAGTTTCCTCTCGCAGTCTTCAATTCAAGCTTTCCTGAGAAAAGATCCCAAAGACCACCATCTCGCTCCTGGCAGAATCTGCCAAAGCACAGCAAACCTGCTATCAGAAGCACTGTGAGAAACGGGAAGCAATAGCTCAGCTTTGGAGGTGACCAGCAATATACTGTAATGATATACTAGCAAAGGGGGGTTCGAATTTGACGATCCTTGGGATCTCTTCCAAACCAAGCCATTCTATGATTCTATGGCTATGGAGACAACCACCCCATGTGCTGTAGGGATGTCAGCCTCCACAAGGCACCTCTGCTGCTTGGAGCAGGGAGACAGCTTGGGATGTTCCTGATGCTGGGGGAAATCAGGGAGCAGCTGGCCTGAGAGAGCATCCTGCAGGCTGAGAAGAATGGGCCTGAGTAATACATGCAGAACAATCTGTGAGATGCGCTAACCCTAGAATAGCAGTTACATCACTGCACTGCTCACCAGCAGTCGTGAAAGAAGTTTGAATGAATGCTTTGAAGTCTTGCAAAGCAGCCTGGAGATTTTTAAATTCTTTCCATAATAAAAACCAGGGAGGAAAAAATGACGAGGAGGATTTAGCCATGAGTTCAGACACTGGCATGAGCTCTCTGTTACAATAAAGGAGTGCCAAGGTTCCTAGAAAAATACATTACATTCAAATGGAACACTGGCTGAGATGAATGGGTTGTTTCATTCTTTATTCTACTTCATTGATTAAATGGAGTCACGTAAGTAATTCAGGAGATTTCAATAAGAACGCTTCAAGACTAAGCTACTACTGGAAAGAGTGCAGAAAACACCACAAGAACAATTCAAAGGGTATAAAGAACGCTGTATGGAACTCCTCAGAAATATCACTGAAATACAATAGCAATGGGTGGGACAAAACTTCAGCCACTGCCCATCGATGTCTACAGGGAAAGAGGAATACAAATACCTCTCCTGTCACAAGTGGCAAATGCTATTGATGTGGCTAAAGATTTATTACTGCAGAGCTTAAGCTCGAAGAAACAACCATAGAATCACAGAATGGTTTGGGCTGGAAGGGACCTTTAAGACCATCTAGTTCCAAACCCCTGCCACAGGCAGGGACACTTCCCATAGACCAGTTTGCTCACAGCCCCATCCAGCCCGGCCTTGAATGCTTCCAGGGAGGGGGCAACAAGATCCCTTTGAAAGTCACTTCAGTTGGAAATCATGACCTGAGGAAGATGCTGCACAGTTCTGCAGGCCAAGAGCCAGCAGCTGTGTTCTGAGCATACAGCCAGTGCATGGCTTACACAGGAAGCTTCACAGAACTGTATTTCGAAACTGAAATACAGAAACAGAGATACAGACACGTTAATAAGCGGCCTGCTAAAATATCCTTTCATTTTAGAACATAATCTCACAAAGAAAGCAACAAGAAATCCTAGATAGACTATCTATAAAACTACAGGCTAGATTCATTTCTGAAAGGCTTACTGGGAGCCTTGAACTTTTCCCGGCCGTGTTACTTCAATAAATAAACAAAATTCTCTCTTCCAACTAAGATCACGCTCCCCCCCCAACAGCAGAAAAACGCCTTCAAGAACAATAAACGAAGAATTCCTCACGACGAGTCACAGACGAGCCACACAGAGATCTCACCAGCCTGGAGGCAGAACAGCGCGAGATAAACATAGCGGCCTAAGCCAGGAGGCTCCGCTGCCTGCGCCGCTTCGTTCAGCCCACACGCGGGGTCCGACGAAAGGCGGCCCGCAGGCGCCCACCACCACCCGGCGGCTCAAAGTCCACGAGCGGGAGCGGCGCTCGGCGCGGCGAGGAGGCAGCTCGCCCTGAGGCGCGGCGGGGACGCGCGCACCTCACGGCCCCTCGGACGCCCGCAGCGTGCAAACCGCCAGCTTCCCCATGCTCGTCCCCTGCGCGGGAAGGTCACTCACCCGACGGCACGGCGCTCCAGGCGCTCCTCCCGCATCCGTTGGGCACCGCGTGGGGAGGGACGGATCGAGTCGGGGTAGGCGGAGCGCGCAGGCGCCCGGCGGGCACCCGGTGTGAGGCGGTTCTTCCCGCGGCGCGCGCCCTCTGGCGTCGGGCCTGGAGGAGTGGGAGGCGGATCCCCGAGGATCCCGGCGGCGCGGGGCTCGGAAGCGGACGCAGCTCGGTATGGCGGCCGCTGAGGGGCGGGAGCCTTTGCTGAGGGCTGGAGAGGAGGAGCAGGAGCAGCAGCAGCAGCAGCGGCGACGGCGGGGCAGGTACGGGCCGCTCGGGCCGGGCGGAAGGCGCCGCGGCAACAGGCGGCCGGCGTCGCTCCCGGCTCCCCGGAGCCGGCGACTGCCCTCAGCGGCGCGGCCCTCTGTCCTGCGAGTCGGTCCGGGTCGGGCCTCAGCGAGCGAACGGCCGTGAGGTTTCGCCCGGCAGCCCGCCGCTGCGGCTTTCCCTCACAGCGCCTTTGCTGTGTGGGCACCATCTGTCGTTCTTTCCTTTCGCTAGCAGTAAAACTAGACTTGCTGCGACGCTGAGCGTAGGCAGCGGTTGGTCAGAGGTTTTGGTTTGTTTGCTTTAGTCACGGCTCTGGGAGGTGCCTGGGGTTTTGTGGCTTCATACGTGGTTGTTGAAGCTTGTATGTGAAATCTGTGATGCTCCAGACGCAGAGATTGTATTGAGATCTCTCTCGATGAGCTTCTCCTAGTGCAACACTTGTGAATGCGGTGGTACCTGGTGGTACGTTTCTATTTCTTTTTTTTGTTTCCTTTTCGTTATAATACAATACAATCACATGTGTTATCATATTTTTATTATCCTATATCTATTAATTTTTACGTCTTTCAATGTAGTATTTTTGAGCCTGCTTCTAAAATAGTGTTGTCTTCTATGTAGAAGTCCTTTGCTGCATGGGAGTTAAAGCGCTTCATGCAGTTGTCCTGTGCCGTGTGCATGAAAAGTGTTCACAGTGTCCTGAGAGGACATGATTGTGATTTCTTTCTCTTTTGCCCTCACAAACCAGAGATGTCGTGGAAACGCAGGAGCATTACAAGAGCAGGTGGAGGTCTATCTGGATAATGTATCTGACTATGTTTCTCAGTAGTGTAGGTGAGTAATCATGGATGGATTTCAGTGCTCTTTGCTTAGTGGATACATTTAGATGTGAAAATGACAGGGTTTTCAGATTTTAACTACTTAACTCCTTTAACATTTAACTCCTTTAACTTTTGTGCCCATAGAAATGTGCATCCTGGGTTTTTTTTTCTTAAAAAAGAAGATGAGGCTTGCAAATCAAACAGAAGTTCACTTTTAGTAAAATGAATATGGCCGTGCTTTGAGAATAAATGACATTTTATCTAAATCTTTGTTTCATTGGGTTTGAAGTAGTCTGGGGTAATGGTAGAAGGTAGTGGTTGTGACATAGAAACAAGCCAAGGAGAGGTCACACTTTTATAAAGAGTGTCCAAAGTAAAACTTTCAGGAAATGAAAGTAGAAGCTTGGCCCTTTAGAGATAATATCTTTGTGAGAATGTGTGTTATCTATTTCAAAGAACACACCAAAGCTTGTTTTCTCTTAAGGGACTTTGCATCTCCACTGCAGAAAAAGTTCCTGTTCCAGTCCTAAACCGCTGCCCCTCCAAGCGACAGTTCTGTTGATTTTTGCCATCTGGCAACTTTCTGGGGGCCTAGAAAAAAACTGGAGGATTATGAGATATTTCAGAGGGGTTTTGTTTGCTGTTTTTAAATTTGATGTATTAAAAATTCTTTAATACAAATATATCTGTGTATCAAGACATTCTTTTTACTCAGAGACCTTGTTGTCTTTCCACTGAGAGGAAAAATTCTGTCCAGTTTGTTTGTGCATCTGTATTCTTTTCATTGGAGTTTTTTGCTTAGCACGTATGCAACTGTATTACATCCTTTTTAAAAATAGGCCTTCTTTTCCAGAAGAATTACTACTCTTTAAGCAAGCACATAACGCGTAGTTTTTTGAGGTGGCAGACTGAGTTTTAAGCCATAGCAGACTTAGGAGCAGAAGAATGAACCCACAGTAGTTGTTTCAGTAAACTGAATTACTAATAGGCATGGCAAACAAAGTAACTTCAGTTGTGTTTTTACTGCATTGCAGGTTTCTCAATTGTAATTATGTCTGTATGGCCATATCTCCAAAAGGTTTGTAAATATTAATGTTTTTGAATTAATCAGAGGACAGAACTTCTGCTCAGAAATTATGTGGTGTTATACAGAGGTGCAGCAAGGGGAAATTTGTGTTCTATTGAGACTTTTATTTTGCCATCTACAGATTGCTTATACTGTTGTATAAAATCTGTCAGTTGATTGAATTGAGGAAGGTACATCATAATCCCAAGATGTTTGGTTTTCCAATATTATTTCACTGTTGAACAATGAGTCAATTGAAATCTATAGATCTGAATACATTTGTAGAGTTAAAGCACAATATGTAGTACTTGTTTGCATTTTGAACAAAAGGAAGCTGAATCTAGAAACTCTTCTTTCTGTTTTGGATCGTTACACATAGACCTTGATAGTGGTAATGGGAAATTTCTTGTGTTCCTAGAGAGAGTTTTATTTTTTTGTTGCATTCTTGTCAAAAGCAATGTAAAAGGTCTCTAAAATTTTATTTTAATTTATGCTAGGATTGTACTTCTCATGCAATTGTAGAAGACTGTTCCAGATGCAAATTTGGAAGAACATATCCTGGGCAGAATGTTAGAGATACTGTTAAAATTGAGGCTGGTGCTGTGTTGGAGAAGAAAAGAAAATGCATCATCAGCCTTGTAAATCAGGACAGATTCAGGCATGTGCAGAGGTGACTTAAGTGATTCTTTGCTCCTAGCCTGTAAACTCTACCCTATTGCTTAATTAGGTCTGTAGCCTGTGACGTTAGTGGTGCTGTATGAGGAATAGTTTAATTCACTGCAGATGAGCCACTTCCATCTCAGAAAGAGAGCGCTTGCTGTCGGTTTGGTGCCCTGACTGAGACAGTTAGCAAAGCTTTATTGCCCATACAAATTGCTGTGCAAAAGCAACTGCTTCTGAGGCCCAGTGTAGTGTGTTTATGTAATGCTGCACGGTGCCATGCCAACGTGCTAACGTGTTCGGTGGTAGCTCATGTTGCACACTGTTACTGCATGGTAATACTGCATATGCACTCAGAATTACAGTGCAGAGTCAGGTGTTTCAAGTACTAGGAAGTTCAAGAATCTAAAATGTTTTTGTTGATGTTGTAAAAAGAGTTAATACTTTCCCTATACAGCTGCTTCGTTTGTTTTTGCAGATTGATCCGACAGCAGATGCAAGTTTCTTGGGGTGGATTATAGCTTCGTACAGCATTGGCCAAATGGCTGCCTCTCCTCTGTTTGGTTTATGGTCCAACTACAGACCAAGGAGAGAACCTCTTGTTATTTCAACTGCAATTTCAGTGGCTGCTAATTGTCTTTATGCCTATGTTCACGTACCTCATTCACACAACAAATACTACATGCTTACTGCACGTGCTCTTGTGGGATTTGGAGCAGGTAATTACTGATAAACTTACATTTCTGAAAATTAATAGCTGTGTTTATTGTTTATTGTGAAATCATGTAATTGCGTAGTTGTAAATGAATAATATTTTCTTGTCAAATAAGAAAATATAACTGGAGAATTTAAGAATGCAACTTAGAATTTACTTGAACACTTCCTTGTCATTTGTTTCTGTTTTTTAAGGAAACGTGGCTGTGGTTCGGTCATACATTGCGGGTGCCACTTCTCTTACAGAAAGAACAAGTGCCATGGCCAATACCAGTGCCTGCCAAGCAGTGGGCTTCATATTAGGACCAGGTAGAGCATTTCTTACTTCCTCACCTCTCTGGAGCCGACATTTCTCTAATATTCTGCAGGATGAAATCAGGCTTTGGAAGTAGGAATTCTCAGCAGCTGTATGTGGGATAATTTCAAAGCAGTTTGCCAATGATATCAAAGTAAAGTCATGAATAAATGGCATTCACTCATATATGCTTGCATATGTCAATATACACAAAATACTCTGTTCCAGAGAAATTCTAATTGTTTGTAATTTAAAAACTGACACTTCTGTGTTACTGACCACTGGAAAAACAATTTCCAAGCTGCTTTGTTGTACTGAAAGCTTATTCATTGAGAAGGGAGTTTAAGGTTACCCTACCACCTTTTAGAAATGACTGAAAATCTACTTTGCTTCCCATGTTGTACAAAATAACATCCAAGAGATCTTTCTGATCTTATAGTGAGCATCAGGAGGTCTTCATATTGGCAAAAAATAAAAAGATGTAACAAATATTACAGAGAACTCAGGGAATTAAGCTCAAGTGGTGTTTGTTGGGTCTGGTGTGATGCAGCTCCTGAGATACCCTTATCAACTTAATGGGACAAATGGGTTGGACTGAGCTTGTGTTGTGAAGAGTGACCAGCAACGTTATCCTAAGCAGCCTCTACTCTTTAGTTGTCTCTTAAAGTTGGTGATGAAGATAATCAGTCACTAGGCCTGAAGTGCTCTGTGCACAGTGATACAATGAGAAGCTTAGGGCAGAACGTTTTTTTGAATTATAACTGCTCTTATAACTGCTGTCTAGTTGCTATAAACAGCTGTTGATGCAGTATTAAAGGGTCTACAAGCAGCAAACAAATTTGCATTATTTCTGCAATTTGCACAGAGCATAAATTCAGCTAATTCCTTTTTATAATTTGATAGGAACTGTTTGTTTCCTCATGGTAAAGGACATAATCTTACACTCTTTTGCCCTGTGATGATTTAAACTTTATTGAAAATAAAATAGTATTATTCTCTCTAGCTCTCCGTTAGAGATGCTCCAGTCCCAGAGCCAAGGGTTTCCATACAGAAGGATTAGGAAAAAGAGTAAATCAATCATCTGCACGTGGCAAAGATTAACCTGGTACATTCAGAATTCAAAACTGAGTTACTTAAATGTCATTCCGTTTTGTGTACAATATATATGTTATATGCGTATTACTTAAATGTTACAAAGAACTTCTCTTGCTAGTTGAGATTCCCCTGGTATCCATGAGTTCATTTAGAACAGGATTCTCAAAATGTAAGAAGACCGACAGGTAAAATATTTTATTTGGCAATTATAAAACTAGGTAAGCAAAGTTGTTACATGTTTATTCTACGTGCTTTTCTTAATATGCTTGTTTTTAGTTTTCCAGACTTGTTTTACACTTATTGGAGAGGAAGGAATAACATGGAAATCAATTCATCTTCAGCTGAACATGTATACAGCACCAGTTCTATTTGGTGCTCTTTTAGGAATTATTAATATTATACTCATCTTTGCTATATTCAGGTAATCAAATTGAAAAATAGCAAAATATTCTCCCTCGGTTTAGTGGGTGGATCGCAATGAACCTTGCATTGCTTGGAAGGAATAGTAAGCCTGAAATCTGGAGTGCTGAAACTGAAAATCTTTATTTCTTATTACTTCAGACTTTCTACTTTCTGTAATATAGGTCTTTTGCATTACACTGATTTCTGTACGTGTTTTTTCTTTAACGAGAAATAAAGGTAGCCTGCTTACAGGGTTCTGTGGCTTTCTTTTAAGAAGGTTGAGAGAGCATTTTTATGCAGTTATCCCACTAGTGGCAATGACAGTACACAGATGTTCAATATTTTCCCACCAGAGTATTTTGTTTTTTAAATGCAGTGCTGGTCACTGCAGTTAAATGTAGGCTGTGCAGGTGGTATTTAAAGGAGCTGGGAGTAATTAGAATAAGAGATGCTGCCATTTAGAAATATGCTTAGTAATAGATCGAGTGAATATGTGTATTCCTGAGAACAGTTCTGCATTTCCAGGGAGCACCGAGTGGATGACATGGGACGGCAGTGCAACAGTATCAATTGTGAAGGAGAAGGTATCTGTGTTTTCTTTGAAGTTCACCCTGTGATTATAATTGGGAAGTTGTCCTTTCCAGCTACACATGAAGATGCTTTGTGGGGGGTTAGAGAAACAAAGCCTCCACTGTCACATAGGGAGTTACACTGCTGTGCACTTGGGACCTTATCAGAGGAACTGCGGGTGTTCCGCTTCCCGCGGTAAAGATGTGTAGAGCAGTTTGCTTGTTTTGCTGCTGCTCGGGACTTGTCAGTCTCAGCATTACAGTGGGACAGCAGATGGCATAAACAATTTGAAATCATTTTCTCTCAGCGGAATTGGAGTTTTATCAATTCCATTTGGATCTGAAAAACGTTTTACTTAAATGGTCAAAGCATAACTGTCTACCTGCCCACCAAACTGCATGTTAAATACATAACAAAGTAAAAATATATGTTACTGTCTGTAATCATCATGTAAAAAAGCTGAGTTTGCAAATATGATTATTCTTTTGTTTCAGAGACTGGTGTTCTGGATCAGGATGCAGAAGGAAACATTGACCATGTTGCTGTTGTAGCACTAAATTTTCTTTTCTTTGTCATCTTGTTTGTCTTTGCAGTCTTTGAAACGTAAGTTTGTCGATGTTCTCCCAAAATACTGTGACATATAACATAGTCTAGCAGAGTATTCATGTCAAATTTTTCTATTGTACTCGTTTTCTTAATCATACTCTTTATAAATAGAAGTGTTTCTAAGTTCCAAACCATATGCAGTTAAATTGCTGTGTCCTGATAGACAGTAATGAATTAATGTGCAGTGATAAGTAAAAACATGTAGCACAGTGTAGTACACAGTGTGGAACATTCCTGTAAAAGGTTTCGAATGAATGCGTATACGTATCTTCAACTTCTTAACTCTGAAAGCTCCAGTAAAGCTTATTTTGGTAATGATTGAAACAATTGACAGTGCAGTTATATTTGCAATATTTTATATTGTTTATGCAATAATATTTTTAAATACACAATTTTATACTACCTGTTTTTTTAATACATACAAAGAGGTAATCTATTCATTCGCCTATTTTCTTTATGTAAGAAAATAATTCTATCATCTTTTCATAAGTCATCTGAAATATATTGCGTATGCTTCAAGAACTGCTATCGTGTCGCAGTATTGAATTTGGTCTAGTGGATTTATTACTTTATAAATGACAGAAATAGTTTATAATCAGTCTGTGTTCACTGATGTCCCTGCTGGAAGAAAATGCTTCTACACCACTCTGATGTTAAGGACAATTTGTTTATATATACAGAAATGCCGTAGAGATGTTTGGATTTTTGTTTACATGTTGTCTTAATAAATAATAATAATGGGATTTTGCATTGTCAATTCAGCATAGCTACTCCACTGACGATGGATATGTATTCCTGGACCAGGGAAAAGGCTGTTTTTTATAATGGAATAATCCTTAGTGCGATTGGCGTTGAATCAGTTATTGTTTTCATGGTGGTGAAAATGCTGTCTAAAAAGTGAGTTCTTGGATTTTCTTGGAATGTTATTGTTACTTATGTTAGCTACGCCTGGGAAGTTTTATACCCAGTCCAAATCTGTATTCTGGAAGTCTCCTACTTGTCAGTGAATTTGGGCATGCTGTGACAGTGAAGTACTTCTGATTTTGACAGAGCCGTGATACTACAGTTGTTTTTGTTCTGGTAACACAACCCCCTTCCTTGTATATCTTTTACCCTAGAATCACAAGAAGAACAAGTTTTAAGTTACTGTGATTTTGCTATTCTTGTTGCAATGTTTTGGTGGGCATCTTTTCTACAAGTTAGTGGGCTATGTCATTAACACCTTCCCAAATAATATTTTAATTAAACAGTATCTTTAATTTCATTGTTTGATAGGACAGGTGAACGTGCCATACTCCATGGAGGCTTACTGATTGTCTTAATTGGATTCTTTATCTTACTGCCTTGGGGGAAAAAACTACCAAATATCCAGTGGCAAGGTATAATTCCAAGTTATGCTGAACTACAGTCATGTTTTATTGAAACTTTTTTATTGTATCTCTTCTTCATGGCATGTTTCACTTGTTTTTACAGCGATAAAGAACAATTCCATTCCCCAAACAACCCCCACTGAAATGGTGATGCCTTTCTGGAATTTGCAAGCAATGCAGCTTCCATCCAACCACTCTGAACCCGCAGGCTGCCCCATCACGCAGTCGTGGTGCCTGAATACTCCCATGATCTATCTGGCTCAGTATATCAGCTCTGACATACTAATAGGATTGGGCTATCCAGTTTGTAACGTTATGTCCTACACTTTATACTCAAAAATTCTAGGCCCAAAACCTCAGGTAAGCACAATGCCTAATCAGTTTGTTTCATTTGTTGTTTCCCACTCTCTTCACTAAGATGAGGGCACTTGCAGCCTGGAAGGCCAACTGTGTTCTGGGCTGCATTACAAGAGGAGTGGCCAGCAGGGAGGAGGATGTGAATGTCCCCCTCTACTTAGCTCTTGTGAGGCCACAAAATTATTGAACTAATAATTTATTTTGTAAAAATTCAGGAAAATAAGAAGCGCTTAGACGTTTCTCTTTTTAATTCAGACAATTGGTGGGAATTCCTGGCCAGTTAAATCCTGTGTACCTATCTCTGTTTTAGGGTGTCTACATGGGATGGTTAACTGCTTCTGGAAGTGGAGCACGCATACTTGGACCGGTTTTTGTGAGCCAAATATACACTCACTTGGGACCACGCTGGGCATTTAGCTTAATATGTGGAGTGGTTGTAGTCTCTCTGTTAGTCTTGGAAATAGTATACAAGAGACTTATTGCATTTTCTGTCAGATTTGGAAGGATGCAAGAAGAGAGGAGTTAAATACATAAGCAATGAGAATACAAAAACAATTTTAAAAATAACAATCCATTGCTACTTTTTAACGTGGAGTGCCTAACCACTGACCTTGTTGGATGTGTGATAAGAACTGTACATAGGTACTGATGCATTGACAGATTTCAATTCATCACATCCTAGCACATGGTTGTACCGCTGCAGTAGAGCTTTTTGTATTCTGCTTTTCTAGCAGTAGAGGAAGGATGTGAATGAGTTGAATCAATACAAAGGCACATTTGAAATGCTCACATGCACACCAAGTACAACAATGAAGGTCACAGGTTAAGAATGTCCCTTTCAGGAAGCAGTGTATCTTGATTCTGTGAATCGGGATTAGTAACTCTTCTAACTACGAGATTAGTTAAGCTGCAAGCACTTTGTACAGAAAAATCACTACGTAAATTATACTACTGGATGCTGGTTTGCTAGCTTCTGAGCATTGGTTCATATGAAATGTCTTACTTGGAACTCTTTATTGGCAATGCAAGGACTTGAAGTGTGACAACTGTAGAGGAAACAGGTGCCTACTTCACAAAAATAGGTGGGATTTAGCTATTTAAGTTGGTTAGGAGCCATTGAAAAATCCATCTTGGTGACTTACTTGAACTATAGTAATTAATACACTGTTTTGGTACTGTTGTGTTGAATGCCTTTTTATAGCAAGGGTAACCTGCACAGAGAAGAGTATACATAGCTTTTCATAACCTTACTCTCTAAGAAGGAATTACTAAGCATAATAGTGTACACTTCCATTGTTGGCAATGAAACTGTGCACTGTGCCACCACTGAGTGATCAGTCTGAACTAATGCTAATTAAGGAAAAAGGAAGAAACTGATGGTTCTTTAGATGTTGACTATTTTCTGTAGACTTATTTTCTGATGATGTAGTGCAAGAAACAGGTTTACCTTTGAATCAATTATTTTTACTTCAAAAAGTGAATTATTTTTCATTCTTAACAGGGCCTAAGTTAATCTGTATGTGTTCACTTGCTGTTTCAGTCCTACTGGGGAAGAAAAACCTGAAATAAATGCAGTAAATACAAGTTGTAGTAGGTATGTTAAACAGCAGCTATCTGATGTTTTCTTACTATATTAAATGTAATAAAGTAATCTTACTTAACTGCTAAAGCACTGAATGACTACAGAATTAAAAGATGATTATTTCAATACCTACTCAAGTGAATGCAGTATTTCTTGCTGCAGAATTCCAAGATGTTATGAAAAATGACTTTGCTACATTAGTGGTGAAAATAAAGAAAAACTTAGAGTTACATCACTCACGAGTTCTTTGGACATGAGAAACTAGAGTCTAGAAATTGTTATCAAGGAGGCTAGCAGCAATTAGAATTTTGTATTCTACTACTAAGTTTGTGCTGACTGTTAGGACAAAGCAGGTAGCAGTAGCGTTTTTATTATTTTCAAGGATTAAGGATAAAACAGGTAAATATTCAGAAAACTTACTACACCTTAACAATACATTGATTGCAGGTTTTCAAATGCTTTTGCCACAAGAGTTTTATTTTCACCAATTCCACTGTTGTTTAAGCTGCTGCATGATTGTTACAGGTTATCAGCCTTGGAATCTTGTAAACTATTCTTGTTGCTGAAAGGTTTTCTGGTCTATACTGTGATTTAACTGCACTTACCTCCCTGTCACATTTCTTTGTAAATTAGTTGAACCATTTTCTAAGCATTCATGCCATTTTCACCTTTTGGTGTTGGCTACGTAGGCTTGTCTCAACTGTATGTACACTGAGTTGGCACACCCAAGTAGATTATGCCTGAAGATTTTCAGTGTGAGCAATACTACAAGTTTTTAAACACAGAGATGGCCCACACGTCATCAAGGGTGAATTGTTACTATGAATGGCAGGCATACTATAATTAAAAGACTACAGAAATATTTTAAAAGCACTGACTGCCTTGCAGCCTACCTGTTTTATCACAAAGCTGAAAGAATGCTCACATTCTATCCATGAGTAATAATAATGGGAGTATCAACACATAAGAAATGCTTTCAAACAGCTACTCACAGCGCTGGTTCAGTTTGTTACTTACTTATGATAGCTTACATATTATGAATCGCACTAAGTGTCTCTAGTTAATAAGAACTGATGATTATATAACAAATGGAATCAGTTCAGAATGTATAATTTGCTTTCCTATGAAATTTCATCTATACATACTTCAGTTACCTGTAGCCCAGGGGTGGAACACTAAACATACAAAACCACTGTGCGAATGTTCAGCTCAGCAAGTGAGAAGAAGCTTTGGTTTCCGTAGTTATTTGCCCTGAACTTCACCCGTCCGTATGCTAACATATCATACTCTAAAGTAACACACCAGCTTCTGGTACAGTTGAACTTTACTAGTTACAGGAAAAGATCTCAGTGAACTTGAACATGAAACAAAGAGAGCTGAACGCTTACCACTGCATTTATTTTTTGGGGGTATAAAATGTTTGTGCAGGGAATTTAAAAGCTGCTGCTACAAAAATAAAAATGAAAAGGTATAAAACATGTACATATTTACATATATTACTTGTAAGAGGTAAAAATACAAGTTATTTACAAACACAAACACTTCAACAGCCAGATATGTTTTCCTTGATTATCATCACTGAGTAAGCAGTGGGGGAACAAAAAAAATAGAGAAGATTATTTCCAAAAATGTGAGGTCATATAGAATTGAGTTGCTCAATGTTTTGCTTGAGCAAGTTCGTCCATCATTTTGAGGAAAAATGTGCTTGTAAAGTATCTTACAAAAAAAATTGTAGAACAACCTTTCCCTTCCTATTTTTTTTTTTAAAACCAGAATTTTGAAGAATTTCTGGATAAGCTTAGGAAAATCAGTCACTTTCATGTCAGTGAGTGTGTTTATTAAGCTCTTGTGCCCAAAGACCTGCTTTGCTTTTATCAGTGGGGACCTGTTGGATTGGTAAACATCACAAGAATAGAAGACAGACAGTGCAACTTCTCTTTGATGTATTCTGGCAACTTATCATTTTCTCCATACCTGCAAAAGCAAATAAGAACATGAAATTCAAATGCAAACCTCTAAATCAGGTATGTATATCTAAGATAGACAAATTAACTGGAACTTGAAGGCTTAAGTCCTGTTTCCCTCCCATCCCTGTATGTATTTAACTGAAAAATTATTTCAGAATAAGTACAGCTAAAAATATTGGTAAGCTATAATAATATCCAGGTTATATGTTACCATCTTCAACTACACACAGAGGAAGCATATTACTGTATGGCTGTATGGCTGTATGCAGGCAAGTGCCCTGCATCCAAATTATGTCCAAAACTTCATCTGATTACTTCTGGTCTATGCATCCATGTTGATGTGTTATCTCCCTAACACATTTTCCCTGAACTGGCAGTATCTTACAAGGGCAAAAAAAAAAAAAAAAAAATTAAGGATAAAAGATTGTCTTCCCCTCCCTCTTTTAAATGCAGTAGCTGTTTCCTGAGACTAAACAGGAGTCTTCATCATTTCTTACCTTAAATTCTATGCTTTTATTCATAAAGCTTATGTAAGCTAATCAGCTGAAGAGATGATGAAAAGCTAAGTTTTAACAGCAACAAAAAGCAACAGTTACAAAGTTCACTTTTTTCAAGTGACACTAGTGACACTCACCTAGTTGTCTGGCCATCTGGAGAGGTGTAAGTGATAGAAGAAACACCTGCTTGGGCTACCAATTGGGATCCATCATTAAACTGAACCCACACTGCTCCACTGGTCAGCTAACAAGAGTGCAGTATCATTTGGAAAGATAAAAAAAAAAATAAAAAAAAAATCAAAGATAACACATTTAGAATTACTCTATTAAATGAAGCTGAAATGCTTTGTCATAGCACATGTACTTCTACATAAGCAAACTGTATTTTAACAACTTCAGCTTTTATCTAGAGGGAAATTTGAATGATAGAAGGCACTCTAATAGGCATTAGCAATAGCCATAAGAGACCTGTGACAGCTGCAAATAAAATACCAAACTGGCATTACTTCGGTTTTTCAGTTTATGTAGTTCACCACAGTATTTATCTAATATGCTTACTTGACAGGATCTTTGCACAATTTTCTTATCTCTGTAGCAGAGCACAACTCTCTACAATATATACTTCACAAATCACATTTTAAAAGCTCATTATTTAAAAAAAAAAAAAAGACTCCTTTATCACCTGTGAAGCCCAACCAACATTTTTCACGAAGACTGACTTCAGAAGTTGAGCTGAATTTGGGCTGCATTCTGTCTGATGAATGGAGGAGCACGTGCTTTCAGCAGCGTTGGCCTTCAGTGTAGACTTTTCATATGACACCACCTAAAACCCAGAAATGGCAGCATTAGCAGTCTTACTTTTAAGACCAACAGATTATACACCAACTATAGTGGCTAATTACCACCCTTGTTTCTTTAATCTTTTCCTATGTACAGAGATTTACCCCACACGCTTCATTTAACAGCATTATGTTTGAAAAGCCTATGAGATGTCCGAGGACTTTTTCTACACTAAGGCTCAGTATTATGAAAATGGGGAATCAGTGAAACTCTGTCCTAAACAAATTTCCTACTTAAAACTCATTCTTCCCATATTTGATTGTCAGGAAGTTCAATCCATCTTTAGGAAAGTTGTTCAGCACATATTAAGTTATGAAATTGCCTCCATTCAGCTGACCATTTGGACAGGTTTATTGTGTTTTTTGTTGTTGTTGTTTTTGTTTTGTGTTTTTTTTTTTTTTTTTTTTTTTTTTTTACAGAAATGAAGATACTGCTATTACTTGAGGACTAGATTATTGAATCTTAAACACAGTTCTGTCATGGAATCATATAGCACATATAGAGTCCGTTGAAAACAGACAAATATTTACACTTAAAACTTGAAAAAAAAAAAACAAAACAAAACAAATGCAGCACCTTCTCAGACTGTTAGCCTCAACTGCTAGCATCCTAAGTGACTGCTATTTGCTACACAGGCCTGATGGCAAATCCGAGCCATCCAAAGCCAAATTCAAGACTGTTCTGTGTAACATGAGAATGCAATTTTCAAGCTAAGTTCCCAGGAAACATTTGTGAGAAAGCTTTGGAGGACATCATTTGAGAAGTCCATTTCAAATTTATAAATGACAAATTAATTGAAAGCAAAAATTTCCACTTAGTATGCTTACAGATGGTTAGTAAAGGCAAACATTCATAACAATTGCATTATTTCAAATAGGCCTGCAGTTTTTCAATTCCTACTGGACAGTGTTTGCTGTATGTTCATGTACTTACAGGAGTACAGTTTGGAGTTTGAATTGGGTTAGAACTGGCAGCTGTATTTCTATCCAGTGCTGTAACTTCTTTTGAACAGTTGGTGTTGTCCAATAACAGAGGCAGTATTGCCTTTGGAGATTCAGTATTGCCAGGTTTTCTGGAAAAATAATGAGACAAGAGGGAAAATTACCTTTCCCAAAGGGACTGAAGCAACAAGCAAGAAGACCTAGCTTTTCATTCCATAAACCATAGGCTACACTTGATGACACCAGTCTTCCGTGGACTTGTTATTATACATGCTAGTTGTTAGTTTGGGTTTTTTTGTCCTAATACCAAAGGAAGGTATGCAGGACCAAACCAGCATTTTGACACATGCCACAACAACAGTGATTATTCTGCTAATGGCTATGAACCTTTGCTAAACAGCCCTGGCTTTGCTTCCATTAGCTGCATAAGGCTGCTTAGAAGGAACATTGAAGCGCATCAATATGTACTGGTCAAAATGTTACCTTCCAACAATTATTGGAAAAAATGGAACACTTTCACTCCTTTTTTCTTCTTCCAAAATAGCAGATTCCAGTGCAAGGCATATGCGATGTCCCTGAAATTAGATTGAGCTTGTTCAGGTTTGAATGAGAACAGTCTAATTGTTTCACATGTTTACTGTGGCAGGTGAGCCTATGTAGGGAAATGCTTTCTTCCAGAATATTAATAGCCATTAAAAACAAAACAACTATACTACCACAAGAGTCCCAGGTAATTTCAGCACATTTGGCATTATGCCCTTGATCCACATCTCCTCAACTTTCAGAAGGATTAGAGAGGGGAATAACAGATCCCTACATTCTATTCGCAAAGTCACAGAGGACAGGCTGAATTGGAATTTTTTGATGTTTTTACTATTTCTGA